TGCCTGGCTCTGCAACTCTCAGTGGGAGATGAAGAAAGGAGGAGAAAGGGAGAGAGAGGGGAATATATGAAAAACAGATATAGGAGGCATTAGAAAATAGAGATAAGTCAGAAAGAAAGGGGGGTGGAAATAATTGAGGGAATGGAGAAAAGCTGTAAAGTTATATGAAACAACTGAAGGAGAAACTTATGGGAAAAACATACGAGGAGACAAGAGGAGGCAGAAACTTGAACAGAAAGTGAGGGTGTGGGTTGTCGACTGTGTTCGAGATATCACTTTTGATTGCTTACCAGAGTGAAAGCTGCTGGGTCTGAAAGAGTTTCTTAAGAGGAGAAACAGCTGGAGGAGGCTTGTTTCAAAGAGAGCTCTCAGTCTCAGAAGCTGGATTTGCATGTGTCTATATGTGTGAGAGCAAGCGGAGCTACCACTTGTCCTGTCATTCAGAGTCCTACGTGTGCATTATTTGACAAGATGACAGCTCTGAAATATCGAAAAATAAACCCCCACGCATACAATTTGGACCGCAGATAGAGCAGCGCTGTCAATGGAAAATTCCAGATGTGATAACCTCAGGGGCCCAATAACTAACTAATCTGGTGCCCGGTCATTTATTCTGTTCAATCATGTTCTTCTCCTGCCAGTTTGACATTCTTTAATGATGAGTTTTTCTCTTGGGCAACACTTTAAATCTGATTATCAGTTGGAACAAAACCCAGGTTCCTTGACGTTTTTGTCTTTCTGCTGTTTTTATTGCTGTGTTCACACATGCTCGAGACAGGAACACAAGAATGCAATTAATATTTCAGCATGAAAGGATAAGTCTGCATGGAAGTGTATGAGAACTTCAGATTTAAGGCTGTGCACAATATCTGACTTGGAGACCTGGAACAAACAAGGTACAGCCAAACTGAGTCAGCCCAGTCAGAGTCAATCTCATGCCTATGTGTGAGTGATCTTTTAGAGCTTCTTGGTTACTTTTGGCTCATAATAACAACCATAATCGTTGCCCAAATATCTGCTTTGCAAACACACACAGCTCCCTTAACCAAGTCTGGAGTTTATCAGTCATCTAACATCGAGCACCACATACTGTGTGTGTGTGTGTTTGCTTAACTTCATTATCCAATCAAGAGATTCTTAAGTTTTACTTCAAGCAGTGGAACAAATCAACTGGGTTAAAGGCTTTGGATCATACCTATTAAGGTTGTTAAGACAATGACAGAAAGCCTGATTGTGTTTATGATACATGTATAAACTTAAGACCTGCATCCATATTATTGTATTTAAAGTCTAAAAAGTAGTGTTTTCAAAAAATTGCACACCATTCTCTAAAAAACTAATTTCTCTCCCAACAAACTTTCCTCAGCTTCTCCTTTCTGTACATCCATTTTATGTTCCTCTCTACTTCACTAATATCACCCTTCTCCAACTCTGTCGCAAAATTTCTCCTTCGCTATTCCCTGGTTTTTAACCTTGCATTCCTCCCTCTCTCTGTGGTTCTGGTTGACAGGGAGGAGGAGGAGGAGGAGGAGGAGGAGGTATGCGGCCCCAGGGGAGCAGCCTGGACACAGGCCACCTGCAGGTCCAGGTGTCCCTCTCCGGTTATCCGATGTCTGTCTGGACACAGAACACCCTCTCAGGAGCACAAGGCCCAAGCACAAGCCTCCAATCTGTGAGTGCTGGAGGACTAATGCACCGTATGTCAACAGCCCAATAATGTCAAGCTCTGGGACATGAGGCAGCCTTATTTGGTGATGAGTGTTTTCTCCTGTCGTTTATGAAAAGTACATTAGCAGAAAAATTATAAATCCCCTTCTCTCTCTCATATACACGCACTCTTTTCCTGTTCATTTTCTTCCAGTTACCCTGGAGGTGAGGATTGGGGAGGACCATAATGACAAGCGATGCATTCCAGTGCAAAGAGGTAATCCAGATTGGACCCGACCTATCATTCAAACACACATGCACAAAAACCTGCACATATACAGGTTCTGCCTGCAGGCTGTTTTGACTACATGAGTGTACCCGCTGTCATAGAGATGAAAGCATGCCCTCAGGAAGGATTTTTTTCCTCCTTTGTCAATTAACACCAATGTTACACCCTCTACAATAACAATGTTGCTTTCCAGCAGCACAGTCAGGAACTTCTGGTTCACAAACACAAAATCTTTATGGAACCACTGTGTTTGTGATCTGAAAGTGCATCTTGAAATCCACCTCCAACTAAAGACTTCTGATTTACATCCAGATGTAAAAACACGGCAGGCTGGACAAGGCCAAAGTCAAACAAGTTAATCCTATCTTTCCACCCATATCTTACATCATTTCTTGGTATGGCAGACTAAGTGAAAGTGAGACTGTCTGAAACCTAAGATATGAACGAGAAACTCTGGCTGCACACCTAAATCCACACAGCAACTTTTCTTTATAAGCTACAACACACATGAAAACTCAGCTAATAGAATGGATGAAAAACCAGACTCTGGCTAAATAATGGAAAACCTGTCTCCACTACATGTCTTTTTGGCAGGTAAAGATCAGTCAAATATAATTCCAAGCTTCGTAGGTGATACTGGTAACAGTCACATCAGGCTCTATAACCAAAACACAATACGGTCTTTCCTAAACATACAGGCCTCTTTTGCATACAGATCTGCACATATTTCTCTTTTTCCAGCTAACAGAAATTGTTGTGGCCTGGAATGGCAGCTTGAAAGCATCTCATCTGTCACTATGTCCTGTACAGAAGAAAGAACAACATTATAATACTCCTGAAGAATGTTTGTTGTATTCAGTAATGAGTCTAGTTTATTGAGAGCTGCAGCAAACAGTTATTTCATTATCAGTCACCTTTTTCTTTCAAATGCCCAAATAAGCCAGTATCAAATAAAAAAATACCATTTTCAATTCCTCAGAACCCAAGGTGACGTCTTCAAATAGTTTGTTTGGTCAGAACAACAGTCATAAACCCAAGGTCATTCACTTTACTATCATAAATAACAAAGATAAGCAACAAATCCTTACATTTGTAAGGCTGGAACTATAGGGAAACTTTCATGACAAATCACAAAAGTAAAGTGTTTTGGCACTGGACAGTAGCCTGAACCCGCATCTTTATATCCTTAATTATTAAAAACATGGTGTTATAGTACTTATACAGGGACATGAAGTGTGTCTATGGTATTATGCTGTGAATTAGTCCATATTTGTGTATTTTATTCCCTATAAAATACTTTATACCTAGAGTAGCTGCATTATTTTGAAGTACTGTGATAAGAATATGGTCTCGTCATACTGATCGTGAACTCCTCTAATTGTGTTTTTCCATTTTCCATATAATTAATGAAGAGACCCAAAGCAGTGTGAGAAACAGGCGCATAATCAGACTGGAATCAATTAGTTCAACTTTGAGCCACCTGACTGCCAGAGATGATCAACAACAAAAACAACAACAACAAACCCAACAAGAGGCTCCTTTTTACAGAGACCAGTTAATTCCTTTATAAGTTGTGCGCCTAATCAGAGGAGGCCAGGCCATTCATTTCGACTTTTAATCCAAGTGACACCAATTCAGTGGGAACAATCAGGACCTCTTGTCTGATGCCATGTCTGTCACTGAACAGCCAATGTCCTACCATGCGAGGCGGTGGAGGCTAAACGTAATCCAAATAACAAAACGACACCTGGGGTTGAGAAACCTGAACTCCTGAGGCTGTTCCTGAAGGCCTCCTCCTTGCTGTCAGGGTACTAGCCCCCCCCCCCAGCTCCAAAGTGAGTGACACCGTGGCCAACACTCATTAGCAGCCCAGGGATTAGGACAAACATTTGCTCATTAAATCAGACCTGAATGAGGGGATGATATGAGGAGAGCCTCTCCTGCTCCTGATGGCACTGAAGGATGCTGCATTCCTGTACTGAGCAGCTGTGACTTTACTGTGTTGTTCTGACAACAGGACTTTGGTTTGGGGTGCGGGGGGAGTGAGACCATAGCCTATGGAAATGCACTCAGGTAGATTTGTTATGGTTTAGCTCTGTGCCAGCAGTAACACTTGAGCAAGCCATTATGCGCATCAGCAGGATGGTAAAGAACGTTAAGGATGTAGTGTGTAGGGCTTAAACATGAATAAACAGCAGATGATATCGACTCTTACAGGATGGTGAATTTTTAAAGACGTCGTTTCATCATCAGGACACTGCTTTCTTAAAATAAACTGGGCTGAAAGCACGATGCTTTTCTTTTCTAAGAACATCCCCGTTTTTACACCCTTCCCTGCTGACAGCCACTGACTGGGGGCCACTGTTTACCAACGTGTACATGTAGCTACCACTACATTGCTGCACTCCCCGTAGATAATATGGGGGTAAATCTGGCAGAGCAGAGCTGTTACCCTATGGGAGTGACTATAGGCTGCGGCCTGCAAATCGCAGACACGTTTTCACCCAAAAAATAAAAAATAATGTCTTAAAGCACAGCTGTGAACGGAGTCACGCATAGATAATCCCTCTCCACAAGCGTATCGTACTGTAATAGTTGGCAGATAAAGGTTTAACATTAGGGAAACGTTTGTAAAATATGGACGCAGAGGTCGCCCAACCAACAACGAGCTAGGTCTGACAGCAAAGTTTACTTTTAGAAAGAAAAGTTACCACAAACTCCATGGCCAAAACGCACATTTTCATCCAAATAATGGAGATCTGTGACTCAAAGTCTGCAGCAAAGTTTATGTGCATCAGTTAACAGAATGAGCAAAAACAAAAGGTGGCTATCAACGTAGACACCAACATGAAATAGTCATCTAACACCGAAATCACAACTTTCTCTGTAAATAAAGTAACACATGAGCTGGTAAAAAAGCGCAAATGCAGGCAGTTACGCACAGAAACGGACACACTGTAACTTTGTAACACTCTACATGTTGATACTCAGCGTAACAGCGTAAAAACATGGACCGCATGAATGGATAAAACTCACCAAAACTGCTCTACTTGGTGCTTACACCTCGTTTCAACCAACGGATCCTTTCTTGGCCTCTCTTCTGCGTTGAGTTTTAGTCCCCAGAACAACAGTTTTTAACTTTCTGTTCCCTCAGAAGCCTCGCTGCTTTAGTAATTTACTGCAATGCCACCGACATTTTCTTCGGATCCCCAACATCTCACATTGAAAGGCCGTTTTTGGATGACTGAGCTCTCAAACAATTCTCCCTTTTGCGACGCCTTTTCGGGCCCTCCCACTTCCCAAGCAGGAGGAGGGATCTGAACAATAGGGACTAGCTCCGAAAATCCCAGAGCTTGGGTACACGGCACCGCCGTTTCTCCAGACTACAAATCCCTGCTCGCAAGTCCTGAGGACTTTCCAGAGGATGTGCGTAAAACTACAACATCGACTACTATTAATAATGTACAGACCTGTGCGTATGTTAAGAAAATTCCCTTAAAACAGATTTTTTTTTCAGAGCTACGGTGTCCTGGAGGACATCAGTTTTCCCTCTCTTCCTCCTCCTCCTCCTTCTCTGGTTCCCCTGATTTGCTATGCGTTGGTCCCCACAGAGTTTGTATTGACCCCCGTCCACTGAGGCCTGCAGGCCCTCCAGCGCAGCTGTGCTGAGCTGTTGTGTACTGGACCAGTCAGGACTGTGCACGCTCACATGCTCTCATACCAGTGATCACAGCTCTGCACCCCCTACCTCCAACCCCCCCATGCTCGCTCAGAAATTCTCTTCTCCACTTCACTCAGCACACTTTGAAACCAGGGGAGCCACTCCTGTCCACTTCATTAATAACTGACTATTCCCAGATCACAGGGCTTGATAGGGGGGTTGCTGGAAAGCCGAACACATCCCTCCTCTGTGAATGCAAGAACTCCCACCATGATGTACCTGAGGGGTTATTCCACCCCGACAGGGAACCATTAACTGACAAACTGTGGCATTTTGTCACACCTGTTGCTCTTGTTCAGTCGAGTGTGTTTGTGTGCACACACCCAGTTTGGTTCCATCAGATGTGGTGCATCTGGGAGTATATCAGCTATTTTCAATTATTTTAAAACACGGTCTGCATCAGAGCATCCACCTCCCAGACTCTGAGCATCATACCCAGCAGGATATTCCAGCTTCAAGATGTTTTCAAGGAGTTACTAATGAGTTTTCCAGTGTTGTGCTGCAGTTTGCCAGCCCTTTGCAAGCCCTGCCAGTGTTTTGGTGTTGTTGCTGTTTGTATGTGGTTCCCTCACACTAGCACCACCCTACTCTACACTGCAGAGAAGAGAGAGAGAGAGGAGGAAAAATGGGGACTCCCAACCCCAAAAAAGACCCTCATGGTACCCCTCCCTCACTCCACCTCTCCATGCTAGGCAGGATGAATTAGCCTGGGACAAAAGGCTTTGTGGGCTGGCCATGAAAGGCCTATTAACCATACTGCATCCCCCAGAGGCCCTGCCAGCAGGACATCGCCTCCCAGAATGCCACTCTCTCAGCAGGCCGCAATCCCAGCATGCACTGCTTCCCTTCAGTGCTAACCCTTGTCACCCCCAAGCCTCCCTATAGAGCCCCACACAGTTTGTCATGTAGATGATTATAAATGTTGTTATGAAAGTAATAAAGAGTGAGAAGGAAAGAACGTCGTGTGAGCATGTGGCGTGATTTGTGCTTTTTACCAACAAAGACTCTGAATGAGATGGAATGAGAGCACAGGGTGAGTTCTGGGTGTCCGCTGTCAGGTGTGATTTTGTCCAGTGTGTGTGTGGGTGTATTGTTCATCAGTGAGTGTGCATGTAAAGTATATTTCTCCTCAAGAGTCTTAACCATGCAATGCTCTTCTCTAACCTCCTCACTCCATTGTTTAGTTGGGTGCGATGACAATGACATGCTCTCTCCTCTCTCTCTGTATCCTGCTGACCTTAGCAGCTGTGTCACTTCCTCAGTGTGATAAAACCAGAATGAATCACACACGCACTTGTGCTTTGTGGTGCAGTTCAATCTCACATTCATGAAAGAAAGACACTGGATCCTGAACTTTTTCTATATTCCATTTGTATTCTTATAAGTATGTATTGTGCACAAAACATTAGAAACATTAGAACATTAAGAAAAATAGTGCAAGTGTTATTATAACAACTCTCTTACTGTGACCAGACTTTATTTTTTGTTTTGCCAGTGCAAATAGATGATGCGGGTTGATAACATGTCCGTACATGCACAGTTTTTCATCATAATGCTGTGATCCACGTGACCTTCACATCCTCCTCCTGCCCCTAAAACTAATCTCATAATAGTTTGACAAAGATCACACAGTGTGACATAAAACTTCACAATATATTGTCACTATTGCACAACAGGAGCCTTTACAATAAAGTTTTGTACAAAATACAGACTGAATTTTGTCCCATATCTTTTGTAGAGCTTAAACTATGAGATATCACTTTTTCTTGGCCAGTAAAGAATGAATACAGAAACAACAAAGTTTTTCAGATATGAACTTTAAACAAAATATTTCAGTGAAAACAGCAACAACCTAAGCTCAGTGGGAGTTTTAGGGTTCATATGCACTGAGAGGAGCAATGTGCTGTTGATGACTGCACAAACACCCTCAGTCATGGTTCAAGGCATTACAACAACCCAGACGTTCAAACAACAGGCGTTTCAACCCTGTGTCATCCTATGTGACCTTTCTATCCATTATACATAATAAGGTATCTGAATAAAGTATAAAATGGAGAATTTATGGGATGTAGAGTCATTAGTACAGTGGCAGGCGTTTTCTTAGCATATGCACCTAAAGAAAAATGAATACAGGCTGAAAAACTGCACTGCACATGTCAGAGTTGTCCACTGAATAAATCAAAGTAGGGACTGGAGTCATGTTTTCTCCTTCCTTCTTCTGACTTTCTCTCCCCCAGTCCTAAATTTAAAAAGGAGCACAGAAGGAGTTCATGGGAAAATGTCTTCATAGCGAGCTGAAAGATGATGATTTATGACCTGTGAGCTTGAATTTTATGCACATGATTTGTGTAAAATCCAGTGCAAGAGAGCGTATACAAATCCCTTCAAATCTCAATGATAGATGTTTGAGTTAAAATTGAAATTTAGTCATTAAAGTGTAATTGAAAAAAAAAGGCAACAAATGAAGTCTACAGATAATCTGGGACATAACCATAGCTTCCTTTCAGTGATTGAAAACAGAAGAAACCTCCTGGTTATGTTCACGCTGGTTTTACACAGATTAAACAAATATAATATGGTCACTGGTGAGCTTTAAATGCAAACCATTTCTTAACAGGAAGTTTAGAGATAAGGCTTTCACCCAACACAAACTAAATGGAATGTCATTCAACTTAACTGTTTTGGCATTTCAGCAAAATGAAATCCATAAAACAAAGAAAATATTTTACAAAAATCACCAACCAGACTGACCTGCGCCGGTATCGTTAAAGCTAAATGAGTGTGAGCTACACAGCATTCATTAACATCTGGAGGAGGTCTTTACTGACAGGTACACAAAATGCTCCTAAATGACTCAGAATCAAGGATTTTATAGTAAAATGTAATGAGGAGTTACTGGAGAAGAGTCTTAGAGATACTTCAGTATACCAATCATTATGTAATTTACTTTTGTACGCTGCTGAGTTTTTACTAGAAATTTACAGTTCCTATATAAAAAGAGATACAGCCTGATTCTCAACAAAACTAGTCACAGTAACCTTTCATTTCTGAGCATTTAATTTGTTTGCACGCAACATACTTGTTTGTAACAACAGCTGTCAGATAAGTGTAATGATGTACATTAATGCATACGTTCCTGTTTCTTAGCGTGCTTCAGTTTTACCAGGTACAGATACGCAGTTAACGGTGCCTTGGGGCTCTGCATGCAGACATACAGTCAAAACTCTTCATACAACTCAAGGAGAAGAGATTTATGGCATCAGCACACTCTCTCTCACACACACACACACACTCGTAAAGGGAGCACTTTGTCTTGTGCATTGTTTCCTCAGGAGCCCTTCCCTTCGTATCTGGAGATTTACTGCTCGTTTTCATTCTCAGTGTGTGTGTGTAGCCTTGTTTATATATACTTGTGGGAATGGAACAATGGGAACACACTGCTTTGTGGGGACCAGAGGCTGGGCCCCATGAGTAGTTTGTCAAATTTTACACTACAGATGGGGTGTAAGGTTAGAGCAAGTGTTGGCTTTGGTTAGGTGAGGGGTAAGGGTTAAGATCAGGCAAGTAGCGGTTCTGGTTAAGCTTAGGGTGAGTCTCCTGGATATTAGTGCACGGACCTCGTAAGTGATGAACACATGGACGTGTGTGTTTGTGTTGGACAGATATGGACAGTAATAGGGTGTTATTAGTCTTCATTCCAGTGTGATTGTGCTTTAGAGACTGGGCTCCAGACTCAGGTGAGGTCAGGCCTCAGTGTGAGTTGCTCTGTGTGTACCTCTTATTTCCACTTGCACCCTTTTGTTTTGTACCAAGGCAACAAGGAAGGATTGTGTGTTAAGATGTATTGTATTTAGGATTTCACAGTTTGACATGTATCCACCACACCAGAGTGGGTCAGCGCAACTGGTCCAATGTAAAATCTGAAACTTGCCATTTGAATCCTTCTCCATCCTTTAGCTGTTTCCACAGTGCAAATGTTCTTGACCAATGTTCATCCTAGGTTTTGAGCAATTTCCATTTAGCTGCATTTAGAAGCTTCTATTTTTTTTATTTACAGAACATTATGACAAAGCCTGACATTTATTTGAACCTGCTCTTCAGATGCAAAAAAGGGAGCAATTCATGTCATATACAAAAGTGACAGTGTGACAAAATAAACCTTTATTCCAGATAGGAATAATGGTCATTCAGAAGAAAAGTGTCAAGAAGCAGAGGGTTGTTATTCAATAACTATTTCCATGTGAACATAAAAGCCTAAAAATGTACAGAATATACTGACAATAGTTGTATGTACAGTATGTGCACACATCACACTTTGAGACTATAACTTTTGAAATAACAAATGCTACATCATCTGAAAGCTGGATTCATAACCAATGAAACAATATTGCTCACTTCAGTAAACCCATGAGCTATGCTGCACATTTTATTAATTTTAGCTAAACTTAGAAAACACAGGGTTGAAAGAAGAAGTAACACAATAGTCCTGTCTCCAAAAAAAAAACTGGATTCAACACACTCAGAGATTTTTCTGCCACCGTCCTATA